CCAAAACCACCGACAGGGACCCAGGCGTCAGGGCACCCGCCCTGACCCCCCCCACCCCCCTCAAAACCACCAACGGGGACCCAGGCGTCTGGGCACCCGCCCTGACACCCCCAAACCACCAACGGGGACGCAGGTGTCGGGGCACCCGCCCTGACACACACCACCCAAACCGCCAATGGGGGTCCAGGTGTTAAAGCACCCACCCTGACACCCCCCCCAAATCGCCAACAGGGACCCAGCTGTCCGGCAACCCGCCCTGACACACCCCCCCTCAAACCATCAGTGGGCACCCAGGTGTCCGGGCTTCTTCTGTCCCACCCGTGGGTGCCACGTCCCCCCGTGGTGCGGATGTACGGCACCCTGTCCCCATGCCCACGGCAGGCCCCTGCCTTTGCACCCCTATCCGCACCCTAAGTGGGTCCCTGTCCCCAGGAGGGCGCTCCGTCCCTGCGCGGCGTCCTCCCGGTGCGTGCCGGGGTCCCGCAGGGGTCTGATCCCCCTGTGTGCGTCCCTCCCCGCAGACAGCAAGGCCATTGTGGATGGGAACCTGAAGCTGATCCTGGGGCTGATCTGGACGCTGATCCTGCACTACTCCATCTCCATGCCCATGTGGGACGAGGAGGATGAGGAAGAGGCGAAGCGGCAGACGCCCAAGCAGCGCCTGCTGGGCTGGATCCAGAACCGCCTGCCCCAGCTCCCCATCACCAACTTCAGCAAGGACTGGCAGAGCGGCCGGGCCCTCGGTGCCCTCGTCGACAGCTGCGCGCCCGGTGAGGGGACGCGGGGACCCCGGGGTGGCCCTGGGGGTGTTAGAGGACACGGGGAGGTGGCTCTGGGGTGCAAGGGGACACGGCAGGGTGGCTCTGGGGGGGTAAGAGGACGTGGAGGGGTGGCCCTGGGGGTGCATGGGGACATGCAGGGACACGGCAGGGTGGCTCTGGGGCCGTGTGGGGACACGGGTGCCTGGGTGATGGCCCTCGGGGACACAGGGGGTGGCTCTGGGGTGCACAGAGACGACGTAGAGCGGCCCTACTGGCACGTGGGGGCAGGAGGGACACGGGGGTGCAGGGGAGGGGACACGGGGCAGCTGTACCCCCCTGCTGCCGCCGGTGACCGTGCGCCCCGTCGCCCGCAGGGCTGTGCCCCGACTGGGACTCGTGGGACCCCAGCAAGCCCGTGGACAACGCCCGGGAGGCCATGCAGCAAGCCGACGAGTGGTTGGGCATCCCCCAGGTGGGCAGGGGGCCGCAGGGGGGCTTCAAGCCTCTCTCGGGAGGGTGGGGGGGGGACCCAGGTGTGTGGGAATGGCCCGGTGACCCCCCCTCTCCTGTGCGTGCTCCCCAGGTGATCACCCCAGAGGAGATCGTGGACCCCAACGTGGACGAGCACTCAGTCATGACCTACCTGTCGCAGTTCCCCAAGGCCAAGCTCAAGCCAGGGGCCCCCCTGCGCCCCAAACTCAACCCCAAGAAGGCCCGAGCCTATGGCCCTGGTGAGGGGGGTCCCCTTTCCTGTGGGGCTGCAGGACCCCCCTGTTCTCTCCCTATTCCTTAGCCTTTTGGGGGGCCGCTCTGGTTTTTGTGATGTTGTGGGGCTGGACCCAATTCCCTGCAGATTTGGGGCCCCTCCCTGCGTCCTGTAGGGCCTTGGGAAGACGCCCCATGCTTTATAGATCTGGGGGAACCCTGTTCCTTATTCCTCAGGTGGGGGGGGACGACACCCTATGGATCGGGGTTATCTATACATTTGGGGCGTTTCACGCTCCCTATAAAGCTGTTTCCTGGTCCCTACAGATCCAGGGGAGTCCCTTGTTCCCAGAAGGGCTGTGGGGCCAACCCCTGTTTCCCGTAGGGCTGTGGGGCTGGGATCGCTATGGGGCCAAGACCCCTGGGGTGGGGCCAGGGACCCCCGTGGGGCAGCCAGGGTGGGGCCAGGACCCCTGTGGGGCTGACGGTGTGTCCCCGCAGGCATCGAGCCCACGGGGAACATGGTGAAGCAACGGGCCGAGTTCACGGTGGAGACGATCAGCGCGGGGCAGGGGGACGTGCTGGTGTACGTGGAGGACCCCGCTGGGCACCGCGAGGAGGTGGGCACGGGGTCTGGGGGGGTCCGGGGGGTGGGCCGGGGGGGGGGCTGCGGGTGGCAGGGATGTCTTGGTGTACGTGGAGGTTGGTTCGGGGTTGGGGGGTCTGTGACCTGGGATGGGTGCTCTGGGGGTGGAAGGTGGGCCCCGGTGGGGTTTTGAGGGACCTTGGGGGGGCTCTGGGGGGGTCATGGGGCTTTTGGGGGCTGCTGGGGGGTCTCACAGCTTGGTCCCGTCCTCTGCAGGCTAAAGTGGTGGCCAACAACGACAAGAACCGGACGTTCTCCGTCTCCTACGTCCCCAAAGTCACCGGCGTGCACAAGGTGGGGTCGGAGGGATGTGGGGGGGCTTTGTG